TAAAGTTACTTTAAAAGGCTATCGCCATATTAGCCTACAGGTCGAACGTATTGAGTAGATTTTGGATACAAAAAACTATTATCCTTTTTTATTGAAGGGGTACCTTCTAATCTCCACCTTCAATCTGCATCAAAATCCTTAAATTTTTCTAGGGCGGTGTACGAAAGCAAAGTTCTTATTTACTCTATATGCTTGGTGCTAACCTTATAATCCATTCTGGTATGCCAATGAGTTTGATTAGGATACCCAAACAAGAAATGACTTGTTTTAGTATTTTCCTGTATTTACCAAGTATGCAAATGTTTACAAACTAGAGGAGATAGGAGGGATGTGTCATCTGTGGCTCTAACTACATTTATGCTTGTGATTACTTCTCTTGCTAATATTTCTGTACGAATGATGTCTGCTTCTGAACGTCTGTTTTCAATTCGCCTGTGAATTCATTTTTTCCCCTCTAGTACTTAGACGAGGACATCAGATATTATACCCTGTGCTTTGTTCTGCAGGCAAACATGTTAGAAGGTGGTGGTAAAACTCCCATATTGACCCCTGCTGAACTCAAGGAGATTGGTTTTAGCCTTGTAGTCTATCCGTTGTCCCTAATTGGGGTGGCAATGCGTGCAATGGAGGTTTGTTCTTTACATATGAAGCATGTTCCATGATTTATATACAGCGTTCTCTTTTCAGTTTCCGACGAATTTAAATACATGATGCCATGATGGTAACTTCCTCTAATATTGTCTTGAATTTTTTTCAATGTTTTTACAACTATTCTAGTTCTATCCAGTAACTTAAGAGATCTATCATGTTGTATACCGTGTTCCTAGAAATTTTGCATAGAACATAAGTGCAAGGACTTGTTTATTGAGAAGCCGCATGCAGATCATATACTGCACCGCAAAGGGGAAATCAAGAACGACCATGCATGTAGATATTCTACAACCATGTGAATGCCAGTAACTGCCATAGGTAGCTGTTCAATTTGGAGTGTGAAGTGCTACTTTTTTATTCAGAGCACATGAATATTTGATATGCAGGATGCTCTACTCGCCATAAAAGGTGGTGGCGTACCCCCACCTGCCAGCCTGCCATCTTTTCAGGAGATCAAGGATACTCTAGGGTTCAACCGCTATTACCAGGAAGATAAACAGTACACTGTCCCGCAAGCCGAGCCATCAATGCCAACTGGTGAGCCATGATGATTTCACCATTACTCTGTTCAATGTAGACATGACTTGGCAAGCCCTGATGGTTTATTCCATCACCCTCTTCAATATAGACATGTTAACCCCCGAGTGGTGAATTCCAAAAAAAAAAGTGGTGAGCAGTGTATGGACATGGAAATACGTTATCCGTGATTTTTAATGACTATTTTTCGTCGGCATTTTACAGGTAACCCGTAGAAAGGAGCGACCCTGTTCAATTCTCAGGAGCTATATGGAAATGGGATCCAGGTGTCCACTGAGCGATCAGTATCCATTTGCTTTCGAGAATTTGAGATTTGTGCCTCCGGGCAATGAGGCAGAGCAATCGCGTTTATCCTGAGGCAGACGATTTTAGCAAGTTGTAAATGAGGCGGTGTGACGAAATGTTTGTAAACGATGCTGCTTTTGGTGTCAGCAAACCTGGATTCTTGGTGTCACTTTCAATAAAATAAACCAACTTTGAGGTAGTTGAGAAATGTTTCTCACCAGTGTTTGTACTTTGTAGTAAGTTGAAGTAAAATAGTAAGAATTGTCGGCATGACAGATTTCTTTGGCAGCAGGACTCGAGATTTGCATTGGGAATTTGGAGCATTAAACTGAAATGTATACAGATTTCAGAGATGTTTCAAAAAATCACAAACTACAAGCATCTTTAAACATATGTAGTATGTAAACATGTTCGCTATAGTGTTATGAAAACCCTGCTGTTACATTGTAGCGCCTGTCTCAATAATGGAGCAATTTCTATTTGGGCCGAAGTAACACAAAAATGTCCTTCCTCTCATCAGTTCACAGAAAGTTCATAGATGCTCCAGCCTGCAGGGGGTATCTTTGTGTCGCATGGAACCAATGAACTGGAAGACCAACACAATATTTCCATTTGAGACAATACTTACAAGTACAGCAAAACGTATAACAGGACGCGGGTGTTACAAGATGGAAGGAACTAAACAGGAATGAGTAATTGCAGTTCATAAGAAGTATTTCATCCTGTTATCTCTTCTCATGGCGCGATATACAGCCTGGACCTGAACAACAATTGAAGTCTCATTAAACAAAACATCTGCAAATCGACATCTAGGTTGCAGACTAGAATACATTTGATCATAGGAAAACAGGGTGCTACCTGCTCACTTGAAGCCACGCGTATTGGCCCAATTTTTACAGAAACATATTTTCCCCTAGAAGATATTTTCTGACTTACTTGGCCCTGTACAAACCAAGTTGAGATCTATATTAAGAGTCACAAAAATATTAAGGATAATATAGAAAACAAAATATTCGACGAAGTTAAGCAGTGAAATTAGACAGCCCCTAAATTATGCTAGTAAATAGTAATACATATTATTCCAACATAACAGAGCGTGTGAACCAGTTTAATACACCAACCTTTGGAATCGATTCTTGAAGAACCGATTCAACAGCATCAACCATAGAATGGACAAAATCTTCACCTCCAGTACCAATTGCTGTAAATCCTCTGTCTGTGGGATATGTATTCACCTGTCAAGTAAAACGGTAGAGTACTAAGTGATGCCTGAAGTACGATCCAAGGTTTTGGGTCTCATATTGCTCCCTCCAATAATCTAGTTCAAAAACCGATAAACCAAAGCAATGCACTTGTGCATCTCTACATAATTAGCATCGACTTTTTCAGAACAGGTCCGACTGGAGTTTGATAAGACCATGGACCCTAGTGAAATTCAGTCTAGGGTTTTTAAAGATATTCTCCATTTTTTCCCTTTCCCCATAAAGTATAATCTCGAGGTTACCTTCAGTTCTGTCCACTATTATGGGTTTGCCTCAAAAAAGAAAACTTATTACAGGTAATAAGGCTTTCAGCCGGCTAAGGGTTGCCCACGTTGCGAGACTTAAGCCAACACCTTATGGCATGAGCCAACAAGATGATTCTTTCTCTGTTGAGACAAAAAGGACCTATGATTTCGCTTTTCTTCCATTAGAAAAGATCTTATAAAAAAACACTGAAAAAGGACAAAGGGGGAGACGCTCTTCAACTTTCTTTCTTCCTCCAACAGGTCAGTGAAGGAACTTTTTCCGGTCTCATGATGGAGCACTCATTATTATGAGCTGCTCATGTAGAAAATGCACGACTAGCATGGCTATGCTGACTGTAATACAGTAACAAGCCAATCTGGCTTGCCCAAATATACAATTTCATGATACCAAGAGCAAAACCTAGAAATCCTGCACTGAAGGATAACACTAAATAGGTGATGTTGTCAAGCTATTGTAAGTCGTCCTGCACTGAAGGATAACACTAAATAGGTGATGTTGGATATTAAGAGAATACCTTCTGATCCAGAACAAGCCATTCATCACTTGAATCATCTGTAACAGTGCCACCTATGACCATATTTGTTGTGAGTGCGACCCTTCCTTTAGACTTTGCCACCTCTGCTTAAAAGGGAAAGTTTTGTATGAATTAAAACAAGGTATAACGTTACTAACTCATAATCAAGACAAAACTGTGGGCTCACTGCAAATTACCCTTGAGAAGCAAACAGCAAGGGAAAAGATTGATCTCGGTGATGCTATTATGCAATGTAGCCACATACAGTGGCCTATTATGTAAACTGAAAATGTGACCATTCATAGACTTAATCAATAGAAGACTGTCATTTGAACTCATCTACTTGAATTTGGTGCTAGCCATGCCCTTGTATAATCTGGGAATGACAGTAAACCTCTATATTTTATTATTCTGTAGACTGTCAAAGTTTTCCTAGTGCCACTATTCCACTAATGAAGTTATCCTCCTTTTGTGTTCAATGAAATCATTTTCGTAACAATCATGAGGTACCACATGGATGACAAATAACAAACCATTGTACCGTATTGCAATATGTGCCTGATACGGCCCCAGTACTGTATCAGCGGACTGAAATTTCCAAACTAAGTAAGAATTTCATAATACCCTGCTGATACTCTTAATGATGCCCCGCTGATAGACCCTTGAAACTTCAAGGCCCCAAATCACTCAAATCGGAACACACAAACAACCCAATCCCCTAAAATAAATAATATGTCCTGCTCTTCTCTTTGCTTGACTCCACCAGGTGTCTCCTCATCCTCCATACTCAAGCATGGCCACACAGCCTCCTCCTGCCACCGACTCCTCCCTCCGTCCCTCCCGACACTAAGAGATTGTTCCACCTGCTACTGCCGCCACCTCCGCACTCAAGCCAAACCAATGGCAGCGCTCTTCCTCCTACCACACACCCTTCAACCAGGACGCCGATGAATATGACGGTGTCATGCCACTGCCGCCTCTCCTGGAATAAAGATTAAAGAGTACACCAACACTGTCCCTCCTACTGATCTGTTCTGTGGTGAGTGTGAAGTAAAACTTTGATTTGTTTTGTCCACCGTCCAGGCATAGGTCTCGTTCAGTCATACATTATATCTATTTTATCAACTGAAATACATACATACTTATGGTATTGACACATCCTTGTTTGTGGAAAATATCATACAACTTAAGGTTATCACTGTATCTGCATCGCATGGTGGGGTAACTTAGACTATCCACTGTATCAAGAATGCAATCAAAATTATCACAGCGAAAGCCAATAATTAATTTAATAAATAAAGAGATGTTCTAGAAGGGATGCTCGTATTCTCTCGTCGCAAGTGTAAATATTAAGTAAACCACTGAAAAACTAGGGCAGAGAATTGTTAGCATATCAAACCAAGTCACAAACATGAATCCATCCAATTTCATCAAAGAACAACACCCAATCGTCCTCTACTTCCATCAGCCCCTGGAATATAACAATCACAGAAACAACCCCCGGCATTCGAACTCCGATCTTGAACCCGTGAGCACCGAAACGACGACAACCACGAATTAACCAGGCAAAAGATAGAGGAACGACA